CAGTTTTCATTAGCGCCCACTCAGGTCTACAAATGCCCCCAGTTTTCCTAGGTGTTTTACATCCCAGCTGTATCTGTTTTAGTTGCTGAAACAAAGGTTTCAGTGTATGCATCACCTGAGCTTTGCGCCACGCAATTCTGGTGCCGCAGGACCTAAGCTGCACTGCCCATTTCAGGCTGTGATATTAGTGCCAGCCCAGCCTTGGGTAGCACCAGCGCTCAGCGGGGACCTCTGCGAGCTGGATCTTTGCAGGAACCACACATACTGCCAGCTCTGTGCTAAAGACCTGCTGCATTGCATTTGGTGTGTGTTTGAAATTTACAAACCTATGAAAGTTTTATATGTACCTAATTACGTTAGCCCAAAAGTAGTTTCAAGAGCGGCACTATAAAAATGGGATTACAATAGCTGTATAGACACAGCACAATATAAATCTTTGTGTACACGACTAGGCAAGGCATTTGCAACGGGTACAGGCAGTGCCCTCTTGTGACTGAACACGCGAAATGCAGGCAGAGCTAGGCTTCGCGGAGCAAAGAGGGATGTCACCGCTGTAAAAACGGAGGGAGATGTTCCAAGCACCCTTCCCACAGCGAGTTACTGCAGGGTTCAGCTTTAGCTTCAAAGAAGTCAAATGATAACCTTACTGCAGATACAAAACTCAGTTTAAAAAAACCCAAACCAACCAACTTACCCTTTACACTGAAGAATTAAGGTATTTCCCTGAAAACAACATTCGCAAGTGTTTTTATAAGTGGTTAAATATTTTCAAGATTTTAAAAATACTTACATTGACAGTATTCCTTTTACAGACCCAGGTGGGACTTTTTCTTCATTATTTATTATTACTACTACAATACTGAGGAAATGAAAAAAAAAAAAAAAAACAACATGTATTTCTAGCTAGAAAATGCATGCAAATATGGTGTGCAAGCCTTTTAAATGGAAGCAGGCTTGAAGCTACAGCAAGAGCCCAGGAGGAGCTGATCTTCAGCGTTCATAAGGTAAGCAACATATTAAGCATTTAAAAATACATTAATTTTTCCCCACAGGCAAACTACAGTTAGCTGATGCAGCAGCTTTGTGTTAGGTTTCCATTCAGTATCTGGAACTAATGGGTAAGACGCAAGTAGCAGACTTAGACCTGATTTGGTAACAGTAATGATACAGTTTCCTAGAAATGCTGATATTAAGAGACTATCAAAAATATATAAAAATAAATTCTTCTACAGGTACTAATTCAACACTATATTCATTACTGTTTGTGATGCTCACAAAACTCCCAAGCCCCAAAGAAAGGAACATAACCATAAGAACAATAATTTTAATTTAATTAATACAGAAAGCACATGGTACATTCCTTTCCAGCAGCAGCTAATTCCACTCTTCCACTAGGAGAAGAAAAAAAAAAAGTTAAGGCTAGTTGAACACAACTTGATACAATGGTTTCTTTCCCAAACTCATTTTTGAAGACAGCCTTTGTAAATTTGACTACTTGTGCACAAAACATGGGATTTAGCAAAATACCAAGAACAGAGAAAAACATGCTTTGTTACAGTGATAAAAATACACGATGCTTTCAAGCTGCTTTCTACACCAACTCAGTTCTGAAACCATAAAACTGCAGTTTGCAGCGTGTTCTGCCTCAGCCTCGTGTTGAGCAGCTATCACTGGGGAGCCTGGGGACCAAGTTCACCTATTCCATGGAGTGTAAAGTGCACAAGAAAAATAAGTGCATTGAAAAAAAACCATCTGTGATAAAAAGCAATTCCTCTTACACGCAATACTTGCTTGAAGTGGAACTGGCACAGGCTGTGTAATGAAACACTGTACTACATTTGCAAGAGCACAGAATCAGTATCACAGGCATCAGAAAGACTTGTACTGAACATAGGTATTTCAGTATTTTTCCTTTAATTATCTCCGAAGCCAAGACAAGCATTCTCATGCAGCTTATTGTGGCTCTAGGGTACGCTCAGTTGGGTTTTTTTTTTTTTTAGTGATGTGTAAGACATCACCTGTAACTAACACCTCTCTTCACCCTGTGTTCAAAATAAGCAGTTAGTGGTGCAGTGAGTCTTCCCATCTACTACTGATTTGATCCCCTATTTCTAAAAACAATTAGCAGAGTAGGAGCTCAGAGTTTTATCAGTGCAGTATTTATCCCCAAGTATCAAAGTTTCAGTATTACCAAACTTTAAACTTATTACAGGCTGCCAGGAACCACATTTTCCGTTTTTCTATTCACAGGTTAAGGCCATTGTTAGCAATACTTAGGAGCCAAACCCTGAAACAATGATCTAAGTGCTATTATTAATTTATGGGCACATTCACCATATAAAGAACAACTGATTGGGAGGTTCCCAAGTTCATTAAAGACATAAAGGGTTGGGTGCAACCCCTGGAATCTTTGGGCATTACATTTACCAGCAGTAGATGCTTTAAAATAAAGGCTGCTGCTTCAAAATAGCTTATTCAGATCCCCTACAATAAATGTTGAAGGCTAAAAACAGTTTCTTACCCTTGTATAGAAGCTATTTTATAAGTTTCCTTTCACAGTGAAATCACTTTTCTGTCTGTATACTCCTTTCTGAGACCAGAAATAAAAATTGGGGTCAGTTTCCACAACACTTCATTTACACTGCTAGATTATCTTCAAGCCAGTGCAGTACACCATAAAGCAATACTTTTTGGATTAGAAGACTCAGTTGTCAAAACCAATGCTGGGTTTTTTTAGCTATAGAAGACATCTCTACCCTCTTCACTGATAAGCAATAGACTAACCATGTAATCATATGCCGTTTGCAAAACTACTGTTTTGCAGTAACATAAAGTGGTTCAAAGGCGCAGGCTGTAGAGTACTGCCAGCATTTCCAAAAACAGTATTTGTCACCAAGCAGCATGCACAATAATGTACTTAAACTCCAGTTTTCTGCACATTCTCTACACGTACCACAGGAAGAATTCACGCAACTTCTTTTCCATTTCCAGCCTGAGGCCAGACAACTGGCAGCAAGAAGCCAAGCAGCTCGTTTACACCCATCTATTTTAAGTCACTTATGCTAATCAAATATGCATCCTGAAAAAATGGGATTTTTGGGTACTTGCACTTGCAGAAAATAATAGATATTTTGCTATAAGATTATTTAGCTAGAAAACTACATGTGGTTGCCAAGTCCCAGTCTCCCATCTGGCTATAGCACTTCCAAGGCCTCAGGAAGAGGTAATGTAAAATAATTTTAGGCAGTATGTAATGGCAGGGTGGGGAGCTAGGGGGGAAGGAGGGAAAAGTGAAACACGTGGGAGACACAAAAGATAATGCACTGGGAAAATGAGAAGATAGGGAAGAGAGACTGCAGACACTCAGATTGGTCTCACTGGTACATAGGTTTGTGCTTGTAAAGCCCTACACTTACCTTGAGATGCTTCTATGGCATCTTTGTCAATACATCTGAGCACCTGCAGCAGAGCAGAATGGTATGTAGCCAAGGAAAAGCCAACAGACAGTAACCCACTCGCTGACAGATGATTATAGAATCCGTCACCTAAACCCTCCCTGAAATTTTTCGGGAGAGAAACAGTTGAGAAAAGAGCTCAAGAGACAGCAGTAGTACTGAAACTAAGGGAAGAGGTTTTTCAGGGGGGACAGACTAGGTAAGTAAAGCAAGGGAGCGTGGAACTAGTAAAGGCAAAAGCAATAGCGACATTTCTAATAACTTTCTTGCTTGACAATGAAAAATTAGAGCACACTTCATGCAGCTGCTAACAGAACAGATCAACTCCCTCATCACTCCTTGCTTTCCAGGTCAGTCCTTCAAACAGCTTTCAGATCTCCAATACTCTTCTGTGGTAGAGTGTGTCCCAAAGAAAGAGTCTAGGTTTTCCAAGAACAAAGTAACACCATTTTCTACAACAGGGGATCAGTCTCCATTGTCTTTAGAAACAGTGGCTTTTTCAAGTTGTATTTTGTGACTTCTTCTATAGACTTGATCCCTAAGAGGAAGTTCTCCATATAAAACATCTTAATCGAAACTGTACAGTTCATATATATATGCAATTTGTACAACCAGATTTTACTGTATACATATAGTTGCAAGTTTGCTAGTCAGTGTAGACAGAAGTAGCTAAAAAGTAACTAAAACAGTATTTCACTGCAAACAGGAAGCAACAGACTTCAGAGATTAATATTTTACATCAACACAGGTTCACAGGTTTTGCAGCTTTTCAAGTCAGTTTTCATTAGACGGTATACAGTAAAATTCTCATCTACTTTGATATATAGTTTCAGCTTTCCAAGCAGATTTCTAATATTCACCACCAGTAATCCTGAAATGAAGAACCAGATGTACAACAGATTCTGGGGTAGCAGCTTTGTAGAAAAGTCAGTTTTGTTTACCAAGGTCTAGAATCCACTTCAGTAGCATTCCCTGAGGCAACCCACTATTTTATTGTTTGATTCTCCAATCACTTGTATAAAGCTGCTCTTCTGCTCTAGACTGCTTTGTTTCATTAAAAATAGACAGTCAGAAAAAGACATCTGTTGACTTTCATTGCTAATTTTGTATTTCAGCAACTGTGCTTCCCTTTAATACCCTCTTCCCCTCCTCCTTTTCCCCTCCAAAAATATTTTTGCACAAGATAGGAGTTCAGATCTTTAAATAAACGTTAATTTTTGAAGAAGAAATGTGTGAACTGAAAAGAATGTAGTAGACAGAAAAAGAATAGAATTAATATGCAATGAACAGTCTAAAATTTATCTTGCTAAAACTGAAATTGTTCTCTCTATTGAAGACAGAATCTGTGGTGCTAAAAAGACCAAGGCTGCAGAGAAGTGGTGGGGTGGAGGGTAGAGAAACAGAAGAGAATCACCACCCCTGGTCCACAGAAACACACTGAGCAAGAGCCCAGTGTATCCTCACACGCTCAATGGCCTAAGGAGGCTTATCCTGATATAACTCCACCTTTAACATTAAAAAAAAAAAGCCCGTCTGTAATCAGCACACTTAAAGCTTTTAATTTTTAGTAACTTCACTTACGACTTTGTTTAAAAAACAAACACACAAGCACACTTCCCAGAGTGCAAAATGCTTAAATACTTCAATTACAGAACTCCACATGTAGATTTTGGAAGAGGGCTCCTTTTGCTCTCATAGTCGATTTCTTCCATTGCCAGCCAGAGTTGCATTAAAACTAACCAAAACGTGCAGCAAATGCAGCAGTCAATAACTCCGTACTGTTTCTTCAGTATTCCAGAGGCTGTTGCTCATTTGTATAAACTCATCGTTGGACTTTGATACATGCACATGTACGCATCACAAAGTAGTCTTCTTGCACAACCTTGAATTTTTCTGGAATCTAACGAATGTAATTCTTCTAGAGACATCTTCAAATATTCACCAACTTCTGGACATGGGGTAACTTGTGGAATGTTAAAGCCATTCTGACCTCCTTTTAACCATAAGTAAAGAAAAAGGAACAGATTAGAATAGCAGCTACATGCATTTGCTCTTTGAAATGTACTTTAATTATGACAGCATCACCAGTTCCTGAAAATGCCTTCTAAAGAAACCTAAACATGCCTTTCTGGTCTACTGCAGGGTAAATGTCTAAGAGAAGTGTATTGGTCAAGAAAAATATCACCTTTGCTGACAGACTATCTTGTAGTGTTTACTAACAAAACACCCACACAAACACCCCACCAGAGCAAGAACTTTAGGTTCATTAACACTAAAAGTTCTATGTGACTGTGGGAAGGTGACCTGAATACATACCTCACTTTGAATGCTATTGAACTGGTTAATGATACGACAACTGATAATGGCTGATGAATTTATAAACCACGTTTGTCTGTACCTGACTTGTCAGACTAAGTCAGGGTTTGCTCCTGGCCATTTTCCATGTAAAAATAAGCACACTCAGCCAACACAACTGTGAACATCCATGACACTGTTCCCCAGTGGATATTTTTAGCTTATAGCTAAAAAAAGAATCACAACCCAGCTGAAAAACACAGTATCTGTGATAGAGAAAACTCTAATATCAGCAGGACATATAACCAGTGAGGATCTATCTCGTATGATCTACACTGCTGAAATAAACTGGTTGTCTACACACTTGAGTCTTACATGTTTTCAAGCACTCTGAAACAAAGCTTGATTGCCTTCTGGTTGTTACAAGAAAGAGACTTTAATCCTGCAGCAGCTTCACTTTCAACAGGAGGCCAGATTCTTCTGCCCCCCCACCAAATCACACTGTAACATGAGGGTTCAATAATTCTTCATGCAAAGAGCTGTTACTATGAGTCTGACATGTCATCTATTACCTTTTCTCTCAGGCAACATAATTAAACAGTATTTAATGCAGCAGTATCTAAGAGAACACTTGTTTTACTGACATTTGTTTTATTATAGAGTAACAGTTTTCCACTGATAACTCTAAAGAGATTCAAAGGAAAGGCAGAGATGTTGTAACATGTGACTATTTCTTTTATTCTAAAGACACCTAGGCTAAGTCATTTAAGCAAAAGCAATAAAAATATTTGCATGCTATCCAAAAACTCTGCACATCCACTTAAATATAGCCTGAAAAAATATTCCTGCAGTTAAAATTAATTCCCTTTGTCAAACTTACGAAGTATAGAAAAGCGTCTGAAAGCCCCACCAGAAAACCCATGCAGTTACTGCTATACCAGCTACTTACCAACTGGATTATCCATCCAATTTAGATGAAATTCAGATCATGAAAATCAGTGGCTGCTATAAAATCAATGCACTGGGGTAAGGCTGGGTCGAGATTAGTGTCCCAGCGTCAAATTAAACAATATTAATATCCCCAACACTTTAAGAAAGAGGCACTGAAATTCAAACTAATAATAGAAAGAGAAAAGTGGTAAGAATAAATAAAAGGTCTACCATCCCGATCTGCCATGCTGTCAAAGAAGAGCCAGGCGGAATCATCCCTCCCATATTTAACAAAAGCTACATAGTGGCTTGTTTCTATGCAGAGAACAGCAAACAACTCCATCTTCTGGTACGGGATGCAGCCGTGTCGCCAGTCCCAGTCTGGCAGGTCTTTAGGTAGTGATAATGGATTGAATTTATGACTCTGTCTCTTGGGATGAAGATGAACCTACAATTGAAGTGATATTTTAGAAGAGAGAAACTACCCCATAAGGTTATTTGTTTCAGTGGCAGACAAAGCTAAAAAGAACATTACTGCTGAACTGAAGATTAGTGGCATTACAGAAGGAGCTGCAGTAACAGTAGCAGACTAAACATTTCTTCTACTTCTCCCCACTACTGTAGTTCAGTATTGCCCAGAAAATTCAAATGTAAAGTTAGAAAGGAGGCAGATTTAATGCAACAATTTTCTATTCTGCTCAGACTTGAAAACAAGCTACAGCTATGACAGCTTCATGCAAGTTACCAAACAGTTCAAAATTAAGTGATTCTGTCATGAATTTATCAATTCAAACAAGGTACCGTATTATAGGCTTAAATTCTAAACCAACAATAGTGTGTGTGCCTTTAACATAGCAGACTATACCACACTTCTCTAACTTCTTAACATGTAGAGAGAAAGCAACGTTCAGCTGATGGGGAAAGAAACACCACAGGACTGGTAACAACTAAGGTGACAGTAAGTAAGACCAAGGATGATGGACTTCAAGGTAACAGAGTGGCACCCAACATGGAGCGAGACTGGAACAGGAAAGAAGCAAGGACATAACCAACTGCCAACTCAGTGCTAGGACCTTGCAAACATGCACAAGCACTGAGGTCATTCAGTAAACACAATGAGGAAGACTATCAGGGACCACCAGAGACCCCACTCAGCAAGAAAGCACATGCGTAATTAGGATGCAAATATTATAATTAGTTCCAGGAAAGCTCATGAATATGTCAATAGTTTCCTGGGAAAGCTGTAAATATGCACAAGTATGCTAAATATATAGCTGTTGTTGGCAAGTTTCAGGTGCGCTCCCCTTTGCGAAATGATTCGTGTGTGCGCCCAGTGCCGCGATAAAGAATGTTGCTTTCCAAAACTTTAAATTGAGTCTTAGAGAGTTTCTCCAACCAACTTTTACAGTAACAATTTATGTAAAATGATGATTTAGAGCAGGCAACATTAAACAGATTCCAATTTGCTTATGATTACCTCTTCACTGCATCCCATCCTGGATTTGGCAGTTGCCATGTTTTTAATAAGAAATCATCAGTGAATACATTGCAGGGTCAAGTGGAGGCCCTAATTTTGTCACCTGGTGAGCACAGTCACACTAGCGCTGGTAAGAAAAATCTCACTCCGCTCTTATGCCTTTCTTTTAATTATTACAGCATATACCATTCGGGTTAAACCTGTGTAGAGTAACAAAGACAACAACTTACTTGGGTATTGCACGTTTTGCAGAACTGTTTGATTTTCCCAGCAGAAATATCAGTATCTTCGTAACATTCTCTGCACTCATACATAGCAAGTCCTCCACATATGCGGCACTGCCTGGGAGCTGCATTTTAAAAGAAGGTATTAGTCCCCAGTTCGGGGAGACTTTTTTTGGGTTTTTTTTAAGACCAGGGGTATAGAAAGGAGTGGGAATTATGACTTTAAATTAAAAAAAGCCCACTACATTAAAAAAAAGGTAGAACCAGACTGCAAATCAAAGCAAAAATGTACCACGGGATTTAACTTTGACATAATGTGGAATAAGGGAAAAACAGTGAGAGTTGGAAACTGCAAAACAGTAAGTTCTATCAACTGCATGAACAAGTGAAAGCAGGCTTTTACATAAAATTAGCTCTCTTTCATCGTACTGGTCCAGCTTAGCCCCTAGGTCTGTCAACACCAGGGAAGAAAAATAAAATAAAAATATCGTAAGATGATGGCCACGACAGAGATTATTATTCTAAATAATAAAAAATATTATTTTAGAATTATAATTCTCTTTATTATTTTAGAGATTATAATTTTATTTAGAGATTATTTTTCTAAAATGTTAGTGGTTTTATGAATTCTTGTCTCACATTTAAAAACGGGTGTCTTAGGTGATGCAATGAAAAAATTCAGTCACAAAAAAGTGATCCAATTTATAGTTTAAAAATGCATCATCACTAGATGCTGCATATTTACACACTAATCTCAGCTCCTCTTCTTCTGGTTTGATGAACTGATGACAAAAAGCTTAGGAACAAGCAACACGGACTGATGAAGACTAATGAAACATAGTCAACATTGTAAATACCTGTTAACCGATCTCAATGCTACACTTACTTAGCTTTTAAGATTTCCTGCCTGCATATTAACAAATTGTTTTGCCGCTAATAACTCAATTTTAACAACACTGTCTTGAAATAGAAAGTTCAGTTGTAGAGATACTCAAGAATTAAACATAAGCAAGTTATATTTTGTATAGTTATAAGCAACATATAAGCAAGTTATATTCTCTGTTCTGAATTACAGCTTTTAATTGACGTAAGAAAAAAAACAGCATTCAGCATTCTAGCTAATAATTGTCCCTTTCCCCTCAGCCTGAGCATCTCGCACTACCTGGTTAAATATTTTATTAAAAACCAAACAAATCCCCAAAACTACCAGGTGTACTTACTTTGACTGTGTCAAGTCACTCTCAACAGATCTTTCATTACACAAACACAATATACTTACTGTCTTCAAGTAAGTCTGTTATATTTAATTCCAAGGATGGAAAAATTTTGTTGAACATTTTGAAGTCTTTTCCAAACCGAGGCATCTGGATGATCAGGCAAGAGGGTGCCTAGGTAAATTGACAGAGTATAATGTAACAAGCTTGAGATAGACAATTATCTAAATTTAGAGAGATACATCTAATGCAATAAGCATTCATGCTATTTAAAACTTGCAGCCTGTTGACTTCAAAATTAACAAGAGGGTAAGCAAAAGAGAAGTCTTTGAGAGAAAAAAAAATTAAATATAGGTTACATAAAAGCTTATATAAAGCTTATATAAAATATAGCTTTTTAGCTTATAGCTAAAATCCAAACCTAAACAAACAACAGGAAAGCGGCATCTAAACCACTGTCAAATATCGTAAGTCCCAGGCATACTCAAATAGGATAGTAAATGCATGGGACTACACTCCCCCATGACATGGGGAAATCTTGCTTTATAAAGCTTTTTACAGAGGTGTCTCAAAATACTAGTTCTTAAAGCAACTTACTGGCGGTAACTAAGTTTTCTTTAGTAATTCTTTACCTAAATTACTTTGGTCTTTTCAGCCAAAGGATACATGTCATTAAGGCAATCTTAAAATATTTCTGTAACATAGGCAACCTTTACCACTGACACAGCACTCCCTTTGCAAATATGCCTGCATTTTGTTTTCACACTAAAATCCCACTCTTGTTCCATTGCTGAATGAGCAAACATCCAAGTATCATCACTAACTGACCAACAGCTATCCCTCACCTCTGCAAACTTCAAGTTGCTGTTGATGAATGACCACTCTAGTAACTGCTGAATTGTTGGAACTCCGACTTTCTCATTTTTGTCCATAAAAATTTGATAGAAGTAACAGTCCTGTACTTTCTGACCTGCTGATCTAAAAACAGATTAAAAGAAAGCAGATTTAGAAGCTTTACTGCAACAATGACTGTTTTCCTAGTAAAATAACATCTACCAGAAAATAGTCTATACAACATCCTTTCTGCATTGAAATAGATTGTGTTTTCAAAACCAATCCCAATACATAAAAAACCCCAAGCAAATACACCACCCCTCACAGCCCTCCTTCCCCCAAAAAAAAAACAAATAAAAATAAAATAAAAAAAAGAACAAAAAAAAAAAAAAAAAAAAAAAAGAAAAACCAAGAACCACAGGGGCAAAAGATTAAGTCACCAATTTAAGTAAGCTTCCAGGTCAGATATTTCAAAACAAAGTAGAAATCCAGTACTTATATTTTCAGGTTATTTTTCTCTAACATAAATGTAAATCTTCAACACTTGGGAAGAGAGATTCAAATGAGTAATACAACCCACTCTGGAAGGGCATAAGAAAGTACACGGAAGACTGTGCTCACATTGAAGAAATGGATTTTGCTATCATGGACAAAAAGCACACAGGAGAAACCAATAGCAAAAGAAAAAAGTTAGGTAGGAGCTGTTTCACCCCACTGTCAATGTTCCTGGGAACATTCCTCACATTTGCTATAAACGGTAACCTCCTCCCATCCCAGCTAACATTTAAGACAACACTGATTTTGAGAGTACTCAGGTGTTGAGAGGATTCTAGCAGTATGATGCACTCAGAGTAGCTATTATTAATTTTAAACCTACTTTTAAGAAGAAAGGAGACTTCTGAATTACCATTTCAGAGTTAAGGTAAGTGTACAACACACAATTTTCAGTGCTAAAAGCTGAATGGTGGAACCTAACTTCTGTTCCCCTCTGTCTAGCACAGACATGGCAAAAATCTCAAAAGCCAAGGTTTACAAAAGAGGGTTAAAGAAACATTGAGGAAATGTACAAGTGGAGTAGGAGGCATTTGCTTTTACTTTAGTCATTTCATCTCTGACTAGAATGATAGAATAGTTAGGCTTGGAAAGTACCTTAAGATCATCTAATTCCAACTCCCCTGCCATGGGCAGGGACACCACACACTAAACCATACCACCCAAGGCTTTGTCCAACCTAGCCTTGAAAACCGCCAGAGATCATTCACAACTTCCTTGGGCAACCCATTCCAGTGCCTCACCACCCTTACAGTTAAGAACTTCTTCTTATATCCAATCTAAACTTTCCCTGTTTAAGTTTTAACCCACTGCCCCCTGTGCTGTCACTACAGTCCCTAAGAAAGAGTCCCTCCCCAGCATCCTTATAGGCCCCCTCCAGATACTGGAAGGCTGTTATGAGGTCTCCACGCAGCCTTCTCTTCTCCAGGCTGAGCAGCCCCAAATTTCTCAACCTGTCTTCATACAAACAGAGCAGTGTGATGGCCATGCTTCCCTTCTGCCTTAAACTTCAACTTGCCTGAATGTAACACAGACCCCAGACATACTTTCTTTTTTGACACGTTGTTACTGATTCAGACATCCTCTAAGAAGGTGATACTTTTGATCCCTCTTAACTGACCTGCAATATGGTAGAATCATAGAATAGTTAGGGTTGGAAAGGACCTTAAGATCATCAAGTTCCAACCCCCCTGCCATGGGCAGGGACACCACACACTAAACCATGCCACCCAAGGCTTCGTCCAACCTGCCCTTGAACACTGCCAGGGATGGAGCATTCACAACCTCCCTGGGCAACCCATTCCAGTGCCTCACCACCCTAACAGGAAAGAATTTCCTCCTTAAATCCAATCTAAACTTCCCCTGTTTAAGTTTTAACTCATTCCCCCTTGTCCTGTCACTACAGTCCCTAATGAAGAGTCCCTCCCCAGCATCCCTATACGCCTGCTTCAGATACTGCAAGGCTGCTATGACATCTCCATGCAGCCTTTTTTTCTCCAGGCTGAACAGCCCCAACTTTCTCAGCCTGTCTTCATACGAGAGGTGCTCCAGTCCCCTGATCATTCTCGTGGCCCTTCTCTGGACTTGCTTCAACAGTTCCATGTCCTTTTTATGTTGAGGACACCAAAACTGCGCAAATTACTCCAGGTGAGGTCTCACGAGAGCAGAGTAGAGGGGCAGGATCACCTCCTTTGACCTGCTGGTCATGCTCCTTTTGATGCAGCCCAGGATACGGTTGGCTTTCTGGGCTGCAAGCGCACACTGAAGCCGGCTCATCTTCATTTTCTTATCGACCGGCACCCCCAAGTCCTTCTCCACAGGGTTCCTCTGAATCTCTTCTCTGCCCAGCCTGTAGCTGTGCCTGGGATTGCTCCAACCCAGGTGGAGGACCTTGCACTTGGCATGGTTAAACTTCATGAGGTTAGCATCAGCCCACCTCACAGGCATGTCGAGGTCCCTCTGGATGGCATTCCTTCCCTCCCTTGGTGTCATCGGCAAACTTGCTGAGGGTGCACTCAATCCCACAGTCCCTGTCAGCGACGAAGATGTTAAACAAGACCGGTTCCAACACCGATCCCTGAGGGACACCACTCGTTACTGGTCTCCAGCTGGACATTGAGCCATTGACCACAACTCTTTGTGTGCGGCCATCCAGCCAGTTCTTTATCCACCAAGTGGTCCACCTATCAAATTGATGTCTCTCCAATTTAGAGACAAGGATGTCGTTTGGGACAGTGTCGAACACCTTGCACATGTCCAGGTAGATGACATCAACTGCTCTACCCCTGTCCATCAGTTCTGTAGCCCCATCATAGAAGGCCACCAAATTGGTCAGGCAGGATTTGCCCTTAGTGAAGCCATGCTGGCTGTCACCAAGCACCTTGTTGATTTTCATGTGCCTTAGCATGCCTTCCAGGAGATTCTGCGTCAAGATTTTGCCAGGCACAGAGGTGAGACTGACTGGTCTGTAATTCCCCAGGTCATACATTTTCCCCTTTTTGAAAATGGGGGTTATATTTCCCTTTTTCCAGTCTTCAGGAACTTCACCTCACTGCCATGAGTTTTCAAATATGATGGACAGTGGCTTAGCAGCTTCATTTGCCAGCTCCTTCAGGACCCACGGATGGATTTCATCAGGTCCCATGGACTTGTGTACATTCAGGTATTTCAGATGATCTCGAACCAGATCCTCTCCTACAGTGGGTCTAGGGTCATCGTTCTCACAGTCCCTGCATCTGCCTTCCAAGACTTGGGTGGTGTGATCTGAGCATTTGCCAGTGAAGACTGAGGCAAAGAAGTCATTAAGAACCTCAGCCTTCTCCAAATCCACAGCAGCACACCTGTTAACTACCAAAAACTAGAAATACATTCTCACATGAAGATCTATTATTCTAATTATATTAATAATAAAGACCATTATTATACTATGCTACCTCAGCTGTTTCACTGGAATAATACATAAGCCACAGGGGTTTCTCAGAATGTATTTCATACAACTGAAAGACGCAGTAGTAACTGTGAGGGTCTTAAGATGGCAAGCTGCTCTCTGAACACTTCATTATATAAACCAAATACATATTTGAAGTTACTCCTTTTTGTGGTTTGTGGTGGGGTTTTTTGTGTTGCCTTTTTTTTTTTTTAACCTAACAGTAGGCCTTTGTCTAGGCAGAAACAGGAACACAGTTCCAAACTCACATCTATATGCCTTGATCACTCATCCTTTCCAATTCTTAAGATCTGCCTACAGAACCACCACAGAAGGTAGCCTCAGTACTCTCACGTGTCAACTACACAGTGAACTACAGCACACTGCATACTGATCCTGTAGCCAGTGCCACAGCTCCCATATCTCTGCACACTACAACAGGCAGTGGGCACTTACCTCACACTGCTGAGCTAAAGCAGCATATAAACTAATACGATTCCTGTCATGAGGAAAGGACCGAAAAACTATGGACACTGGGGCAAACCCCACCTACCAAAAAAGGTAGATGTCAAATTTGTCAATAGAACTTTATTATATTGAAACCTATTAGAAATATGAATCATAACTCAAAGGTCCTCTAAGAGCTCAACTGGAAAGGCAGCCGATGGATAGTCTCTCACCAGCCTCTACAAATAGACAAGTTCAACAAACAGAAAAACACTCACCTTATTTTCAACAGTGGCTCAACTCTTAAAATATGGTGAAATAAAATATTCAAAAATTCTTCTGGATCTGCAGGAAGAGGGAGAAAAAAAAAATAATCCTGTTAGTACACAAAACCAGATACATTATTGAAGACTGATTTTAAATAAGTGTTTCCAAAATTTTAATAGGAACAGAAGTAAAGGTTCATTTTTACAGCTTTATTAACACTAGTAACATGACAACCTATGAAGACTTTCATGACACAAAACTATTTAATCTTTTGGTGTCAAACAGTCCTAATAAAAGACACAGGCTCAACAGGGTAAAAAAAATCCTTTCCAGTAAAGATCAGAAACTTCAGGGGAATCATTTCGCATCACACAACTGTTCCAGGAGAAATAAAACCTTTTAAAGAAAACAATGAAACTGCAGTGAAGCGGTGAGGAGGGGTGACAGTAACACACAAAAATCACAAAACAGCACAAAGTTCCTCTAAACTAGAAACTGAATTCTCCAATCAAGAATGCAGCAAACAGTGGCTTCCCAGAGATTTATTCTCCCAAAACACTGAGAGTTTTCTGATGTATTTCTCTTCCTGCCACTAACTAATAAATACTGGTTTTCAGCATTCAGTATTTACAAAGAAAGTAGTGTTCCCCCCCCACCCCCCCGAAAAATGAAACAGCTATATAATACAACACTAGCTAATCATTATATGCAGCAAAGATCAAAAGGTTGAGAATTTATTTTTCTAACATGATTTACACTTTTTATTTCTTAATATACTACATAACCATTGTGACAACAAGATGTTGTAAAGATTATTCCTCAGGGACCAAAGGAACATTTAGAAAGAGGAGAAAGACCTCAGCTTTATTACAATCTTCATTTCTGAGGAAAAGCCTTAGATTTCCCCTCACTGCTAGAAGGCAGAGAAAGAAATCCAGTCTTTTGCTGACTTACAGCAGAAACTATTCAGCTAGGGCTCCTCACATATTAAGGGAACAGAAGAGTCCTTTTTACCACCCAATGGTCACTCAGATCTCTGGTGGAGATAATACTGCTACAGAGACATATATGTGTGGTTCAAAGAAAGAAAAACTACCCTATTTACCTTTTTCCTCTGAAGTGAATCCTGATGCAGCTTCAACTTTTTCAAGTATTTTCCTCAGTTTCATTATTTTTGTAGCACATACATATCCGTATCTAAGATAAATCAGTTTAATAAGCTATTAGCTAGTTTGTGATCAAGTCAAAGAAGGAGAAAAAAACCTCTTAAATGCTGAAATACAGGCTCTCAGATCCCTCTTTACCTGTGTACAATGTTGCTTCAGAACTATGACTGACTCCCGTTTTTTTCAATTCAGTATAATTTCAGTGAAGGGCTTAATGTCCTTACATAACCTTTAAGACCTCTTTTTAAACATTAACTTACCAGGGTAACTCTTTTCTGATCTGTCAGTCAGTTACTTTTGATTTGTTTTCACTCTACTTTAGATCAGTTAATACATTTTCAGAATGTCACGTAACAGCACTGTGGGCATTGTTAACAAAAAAAATATTTCAGTATTTGAGAAAAAAGATACAGAAGCTGAAGTTCTGAGCATTCAATCTTTTCCTCTAAAACTTTACAAGAAGTGCAAATAAAGACTTGAGCATGGTAGAAAGGGAGGAGAAGTAACACTTTCAGTCTTCTTAGCCACTTTTTCTGCTGGCCAGGGTATATCCTACCCTCTATACCAGAAAACCCTGGAACACAACAGGCAAAGTACACACACCTGTATAACAACAAGGATTCAGAAGCAGTCCTTTTATTCCAGGAATCCAAAGAAAAATTTTGTAATAAATTGTTCAGTGACAGCCCACAGAATTTCAGAGATACATGTTTAAAAAATAAAGTTATACACAAATAACTTTTCATCCAGAATTTTGCCATATTTCCTTTGTTCATTGTGCCTAAGAAATTACAAAGCTCATGTTAAGTTTAAATGTTTTTTGACCTCTTGCAGACTACATATAGAAACTAACAAAACTTTTAAAGCCCCAACAAATCTATCAAATTGTGAAACTCCACATAATTAAAATACTTTTCTTGTCAGCAACAGCATTAAAAACGTGTAAATATGAACACTATGAATAAACATATTTTGCATTTATCAGTGCAAATTTTACAATAGCTTTATGCTGATCAATTTCCAAATAGAGACCAGTGAAAATATTTTATCAGCAAACAATGAATAACTATTTCCAGCTAGCACTGCTTAAATTTACCATGCTGACTAAGTAAAAATACTCAGTCCAACCAACGGAAAAGACTGGCAGCAGCAGCTAGCTAAACTTTTTAGATTTGCAATAGGAATGCGTACAAAGAAGAATCTGGTGTAAAATTTTGTATTAGACCAGAGACCAATTAATGCCTTCACTTACATTCTCAGAGGATTCACTATCTCTGTCCTCAACAGCTCTTGGGTCTCACTATAATATTCTACATCATTCTTTTCTTTAGGTCTGAGTAACACAGTGTCCAAAACAGAGCTAAAAGAAAACAGGCTAGGAAGAAAAAAAGAAAAGGAAGGTTGTTTTGATTCTGGAAGATACAACCATTTAGATGCCTGAGCAACATAAGACACTCTAAGCAAAGCCACAGGAAGAATTAATAGAACTAAATAAACTCAGAAAGATATAATTAAGGACAGAGGACAATACAGCTGTACTAAATAGGAAAAGACCACTCTAACCCTGTGTCCTTTCTACAGCAGAGTACAAAACCAGTTGCCCAGCATTCTGCAAATATAAATTTTAAGAGATTATTTCCCTCCCTCCACCACCCAGCCTGTGCACGCTCATCCTTCAAAAAATATCAGGCCAGGGACTCAGTCAAAAAGAGTATGGATACATAAGGGCCAGCACAATTTGGACATGATTAGCACACTTGTGTTCTGATGCAAATGCTGCAGAAGCTGTTCAGATTGGAAGAGCACAGTCATGTGTCAAAGGTTGCAGTGCAAGACTTTGTAGGCTGCGCAGCAATACAGACAGACAGTAATTACAACACAGATCACACATTGTGCATTTGTAGCATGGGATGCCACTGTACAAATTATGAACTTACCAGAATAAGGTGGAGTCTAAGTAACAGGAGTTGTAATGACCCTGGATACCTTTCTTCTTTCCAATCATTGTCTCTAAACCTTCTTTTTCCATTTTTGGAGGAGTGTTTTCTTCTACCACTTCACTTAAGTAACCTCCAAAGGCTGAAAGTTTTTTTTTCAAAAAACACTTTAAAGCCTCAAATTTTATCCTCCTCGAGATTTTCCTATTAATGTTTTATAGCTAAGTTGCTGCCTTAGTGTGTAAGCATTCCTTCTCTGGACTAGTATAGCATTTTATTATAGCTAAGACTCACTGCTTCCAGACATTGAACAAGGCTTTACATTCCACTGACAATGCACATTAGAGTGCTTCAGAAAGCCTGGAGCACTGAATTAATTTTACCCAGTAGGAATGAAGTTCTTTTCTTATTATACATGCCCTCATCTTACATGCCCCTTACATGCCCCTCTATCTTACAAGTATCAGACACTTGTTTCTTTGCTTTTGTCTCAGGCTATACAGCATGACCCAAGAAATCTCAAATACTTGAAGTCAGGAAAAAAACTGAGTTTTTTGCTACTAACGTCTACCATTCAAATACATGCTTTTCTATGTTAAGATTTAGGAAAACACTAATCTGACATTACAGAAAAATAACCATCTTAATTTCTGATAACGCAGTCAACTATTGCTAGTGTTTCAAATACCATTTTCAACAAGACTGCTTTGAAACTGCTAAAGATTTACAGCGTAACAGAAAAAAAACCCAACTTAATTTTATGGATTTCTTTAAATAGATGAACATTTTCTTGTTTTAGAAGATAATGCATAGAAGGGTTGCGTTCTGTACAGACTGATATTCTAATTATTTATCTCATTTATGTAATACCTGTACAGATTTTCAAGTGTTCCATAAATAACATATTGCAGAAATAAATTAAACCAAACCCCAGGTCAGCTCCCAGCTGGTAAGTAAGCAGAAGCTCAGTACCTAGAGAGTTGCAGCGTTCAATCTGGTTGGAAACTGGCTGTAGTGAGGCAAACCTGGAATCTGGCCTGCAGCTTTTGAGTTTAACAAAAAGAGCTTTCTTCGGAGCACACGTGAAGTATCGAGTTCCCTTAAATGTGCCATCCGTACAACCGGCACATTCATCTTCCTGAAAAGTCAAGTGAGAATTCACTATGTTTCTTATTTCTAGAATTCCGGAGTAAAACATCCGACAGTATCTCTACCCATAGATCACCCTTCAGATACTCTGACACTTGATATACAATGTTCTTGCATTTTAGCATAAAAAGCTCCAGCTGAGGTAGTTTTTAACTGGATTTACTGAGAAAATTAAGAGTCTCATTTTTTTTCCTTCATGCTTAAACTTTCACTCCATCCAAAATAAAAATTCCATCAGAAGCAGCTTGGGGGAGGTGGAAGAGGAGAGCAAGAATTAAACCTGTCAACATTAGGAACTTAATTAAGCTAGCCACTAACTCCAGATACCTTCTGTAGCTAGAAACAACACACATCCACTACCAAGCATATTTTAAAACAGAATTAAAATCACTAAGCACTGGATAGCGTGAATACTTCCAGGGTGACTGTCACCTGCACAAAAAAAAATAACTTCTGTGTGCAAACACACAAAATGTAATCAAGGAAAGACAACACAAACCAGGTATGAAAAATAACAAGTTATCATTAGTGATCTTTGACAAGAAGATTTAAGGTATACTGTCTGCTTCCTAACAACTGCTAGGTTTTAATAAAGAAATGCCTGACGGGCAAGTCTGAGACTCTAGTTCAACACAAGGAACCCCAAGATGCAGCCTCAGAACACCTGTGGCAAATGGTAGCTTGAGCTTCACCAAAAAAAAAACACCCCAAGCTGAAATTCCTGTCACATTCTCACCTACTTCGCTAAACATGTCTGTTGTTTTACATAATTGTACCCTGCTCTGAAATGTTACTGAACATGATCCCAAAATAAAGAACCGTTATCTCCCTAACTACATACACATTTATTTAGCTGATAGCCACTTACAACCTTGGCAGCAGCTGCCAAAGAGCAAATGTCAGCACATAGCAGCAATTCATGGTTGCAGCAACTGTGAATTTACAAAGTGCCCACAAAACACACCAAGCACATGGCCGTCAAATTAACAGCATCACTACTAGCAATTGATCAGAACTAGTGTTCTCTCTCTGACCACTGCCCATTTGCTGCTTTGCAAAAAATAAGCACACAATTGATATTCAATGAAGACTCTTACAGCCAGGGCATTTTATGTAAATCTGCATTTTAACTTTTCTCAATTAGTATCTCCATAACATAAAAAAGGCACTCATTTAAGTGAAAAGACCTAGAAATCCCATTACCCGTTGTGACACAAAGACATCTCAGGGCCTACCAAAGGAGTAAGGTCTAGGCCAGCCACAGAAGTCAGAACTCATCTAAGAACTTAGCTGCTCCATAAAGAGATCACATGGCAACCTGTCTGACCAAATTCCTCCAGACTGACTGCTTTGCAAAGCATACAGGCACCAACTCTCAGAAACAAAGCTAACATTAATATGAACTACAATTTGTATTTACCAGTTCCAGTCCAGCTAATACTTCATTTACTCCAGGGGGCTGGCCAATCCATCGGATTACTCCATAGAAAGGAGGATTTTCTTTAACTTCAGCCAAGGAACCTGCTTCAAGACCATGCGAGTTCCCAGCTGGGCCTGTTGATGATGGACTCTCCTGGTTTGCTGTAGTATTTACATCACCAATGACAGACTGAACAGATAAAGAGAGAGGACTATGTCCAATAGTAGTACCAGTACCATTAGTACTTGATGTTTTTGTCAAGCTGAAAGGGAGGGAGTGAAATCTGTTTTCTGTAGACACAGAGTTCGTTAAAGGTGGCTGCAGTGGTGGTGAAGAATGCCCAAATCCAGGAGATGAATCACTAAGTGATTTTGCTGGGTCTTCAGCAGCTGTTAAAATCAAAACCAGGATATCAGTTAATGTTGGTATGGGTCTTTTTCTTCCCATCTTACGAAAGGAAATACTTAGCTATCAAATCAATGAAGTGCATCTGCAAGCACATCAGATTTAATGGGCGTCCTGTGTAGGAAGCACTAACAGGTGGGAACATGTAGGAAGATGTTTGTCACTTGGCAACACTGAGGAGACAGAATTGGCTGAGCAGACACTGCTGCAATACCACCACTTTTACCACAAACAACAGAAACAAATAACAGAGAGGAAGGAGATGTTAGCCAGAAACTACAAGAAGGTTTAGACTGGAAACATTGTGTTTTTTTAAGCCCTTTAGTCCCACATCAGATTTTTTCCTCTGAATTCAAGTTAACAGCCCCAAGGATTATGACTGTAATGGACAAAACTAGGGAGAACTCATTGGTCAGCATGACTGAGGAAAAGATGTGGTTCTCAGCTCACACAGAGATGTGTAATTGCTTTTAAGCATGATCTGCAAACGCAAAAACGTTTACTGCCCTTGCTCCATCACAATATGCTTTGGTTCTAACATAAACAATCTATAGGTATCTATAAAGAATTAAGGATTTCAATAAGTAATGATTAATGCAGAGCATGATAAATAAGATCACAACTAGATGTAATAGCACAAGTGTTCTGTATCTTCTCTCATCTCTCTACATGGCCTCAATATACAACTGGTATCCACAGAGCAAAAGCTTCTTCTTCACATCTCTTCTCCCCACGCTGTTTTATTAACTTAAGTTAATGTCCAAAATTTTAATCCTTTACTTCCACAGTCCTTTCTATATAGGATATTTTCCTTGTTTATTTTAAATATTATAATAAACTAATTTTAAACAGAGTTACAAACTGTTGGAACAACATCTTCAAAGAACAATTTGAATTTGCTTCCTTTTACAGTTCATGGAATTCTGGGACTACTCCTGCTATAGGCTTCTATTGTAAAATAACATTAGTCTAGTATTTACCCCTTCAGTCACTACCCAGCCAGCCACACTTCAGATTACTGATCCTTTAGGTATGTGCACCCATACTTGGAAGAATTCAGGGAGAGATTTTACAACATAACCTCAAAAAATACTGTAAAAAATTTATATGCTTGTTAGGTCTGTGACTAGTGGAGTGCCTCAGGGGTCAGTGCTGGGACCAGTGCTATTTAATATTTTCATCAACGACCTGGATGAGGGAACTGAGTGTACTCTCAGCAAGTTCGTTGTTGACACTAAACTGGGAGGAGTGGCTGACACACCAGAAGGCTGTGCTGCCATTCAGCAAGACCTGGACAGGCTGGAGAGTTGGGTGGGGAGAAATCTGATGAAATTCAACAAGGGCAAGTGTAGAGTCTTGCATCTGGGGAAGAACAACCCCATGTACCAGTACAGATTGGAGACTGACCTGCTGGAAAGTAGCGAAGGGGAAAGGGACCTGCAGGTCCTGGTGGATAGGAGGATGACCATGAGCCAGCAATGTGCCCTTGTGGCCAAGAAGGCAAATGGCATCCTGGGGTGCATTAGAAAGGGTGTGGTTAGTAGGTCAAGAGAGGTTCTCCTCCCCCTCTATTCTGCCTTGGTTAGGCCGCATCTGGAATATTGCATCCAGTTCTGGGCCCCTCAGTTCAAGAAGGACAGGGAATTGCTTGAAAGAGTCCAGCGCAGAGCCACAAAGATGATTAAGGGAGTGGAACACCTCCCTTATGAGGAGAGGCTGAAGGAGCTGGGTCTCTTCAGCTTGGAGAAGAGGAGACTGAGGGGTGACCTCATCAGTGTTTACAAATATGTAACGGGTGGGTGTCATGATGATGGAGCTAGGCTTTTTTCAGTGATATCCAGTGATACGACAAGGGGCAATGGGTGTAAACTGGAGCATAGAAGGTTCCACGTTAACATCAGGAAGAACTTCTTTACTGTGAGAGTGACAGAGCACTGGAACAGGTTGCCCAGGGGGGTTGTGGAGTCTCCCACATTGGAGATATTCAAGGCCCGCCTGGACAAGTTCCTGTGTGATGTACTCTAGGTTACCCTGCTCTTGCAGGGGGGTTGGACTAGATGATCTCTTGAGGTCCCTTCCAACCCTTGGGATTCTGTGATTCTGTGATTCAGATTAATTACACCCCCAACCCCCGACTGATTAACTGGCATGGCAGAATATTAGAGTTCCTTTAGGTCTATGATATTAGCTACAAAAAAACAGACAAAATAAAATTACTCTATAAACTTGGCTGCAAGGAATATCTTTGTATCTTCCTTCCAAGCCTCAGCTTTTATTTTGCCTGCAAGATGTGTATTCCCACAGAGCTGCGCACACACTGCCAAGAATGCAGTCTCCTACGTGCAGGATAAAACCACAGGTCTACCAATTAAGACAAGAGTATGTTTCCGTGGGGGTTCCAAGATGCTTTTCAGGATACAGTATATCTTCCACTAAGAAAATATATTCCAACTGCTTTAAATTGAAACTCATGCTTGTTTTATTTGAAAAACACCAGCACACTCTAGTTTTGTTTGGTTTTTTTTAAAATAAACTGCATGACAACTTGAAAGACTATAATCTCTCTTTACCTTCATCAATATACCATGGGGGTTTTGCTTTTGTTTGAGGCTGAGAGTCAACCGATGAGCCATTTAATGTGTAGAAGGCTTCAGATCTGTTTCTTTTTCCAGTTTCAGAGGTAGATCCTGGAAAACAACATAAGGAGATTAATCTCCATCTATAAAAGGTTAGCTACACTCTTTATTTCATAATATAAATTTGTTACTATACGTTCAGGAGGACAAAACAGACTTTGCACAAAGCAGCAAACTCCCCCATCAAAGCTAACATAGATCTAAGTTTGAAACAAGGTAACAGTTTATCCCAAACCAACTTAATCCTCCAAACTAAAATTTTAAGTCACCAATCTGATGGCAGCAGAATACACGCCGCAAGTGCCAGTTTTTCATTGCTGTAAGTTACGGATATAAGAAAGTATTTGAGATACAGCGTAGAGCATGTATGTTTGGGTTTTAAAGCAAAAAAAAAAAAAATCAAATTAAAAAAAAAGAAATCAGAGTAGGCAGATGAATTACGGATCCAATTCCACGCAGCTATGACTTGGGCCAACATCAAACCACAGTTACTTCACTGAAAACCATTTCCATCAGCATCCAATGCCAGGCAGAATTAAAGCTACAGGATATACTGTCATTAGTATTCTACAACCCAAACCAGACACTAGTAAACTCAAAACACTGAATTTTGATTTCTGCCTTTTTCTAAATTAAACAGTTTCCCTTACAGGTTTTGGTTTGGGGTTTTTTGGTTGGTTGGTTGGATTTTTTTGTTTGTTTTGTTTTGGTTTTTTTCCCCTGACAGATTTTCCCTGGAAGAGCTGGCCAAAACCAGAGTAAGAAGAAGTTTACTTAAGAATTCAATCTCAGTTTTGAATTGCAGCAAAATTAACTATTTACTATTGAGTAGATCTGCTCCTGGGCTAAAAATTTGGCCATTTCTAGTCCTGCAGAAGGGAGACTTATATTTATTAAAAAATATAAAAAAAACCAAAACAAACAGCCACACTTTCAGAAAACAGAATACAGCTCTGAAATGGTTATAACAGACAACAAGCTAATATGCTCCTGAAGTCTGGCTAAACCTCAAGCTGTTTTTCATGAAAATGAAGGTGTTTTGAGCAGGCTTAAATTAAACCACCTACATTATTATGATAAAGTAAATTCACAATAATATTCTGCTTCAGAGAAATTTACCTTGATATGTAAGTGAATAAATGATGAAAAATATAAGGCAACGCTCTTCCCCAAACAACAGAAATCTGTAAAGAAAATTACTTCCCATACATACCAGTAGACTTTGGCTTACTATGATTGAACAAGCTTTTGTCACCACCACCTCTGGAGGTATAAGCAAGCTTTGGAGGTCTCCTGTCCTGTGACACAGTCTCTACAACACAGTATGAAAAGAAAATTAGATTCCCTTTTCTATGCTTTCACTATGTTAGAGAGAAGTTCAACTTCAAATGTAACTGACCCAAGGTCAAGCATCGTAAGTTTTAAAACTGAATGGAGCCAAACCTTGTTTGGCTCATAACCCATGTATATATATGACTTGCTACTACCACATCAGCAATTACTTTACTCTGAAGTCTTCCACTATTTCTTGAACACACCAAATACATTGAAGAATGTGAAATCAATCTATGTGTGTGCTTCCTTTATGGGAACAGATGCATGAATTCCTAATCTTTGTTTTCTACCAACACATCTGCAACAAATGCTCTTTCCCAAAATAGAGAAGTTCCCATGAATTCTCCAAAGAAGGGGAGTGCCTCATGCATCTCAACTAAACCAACAAGTAGGAAGTGAACATAGGAGAAATCAGTCAAATTCAAGAGAAGGGGAAACAGTTAAAGAGTACAGACTGTACAAGACCACACAACTCTGACAAGGAATCAGGGGACTGTGGTGGTTACATTATTGAGCGAGTTATTGTGGATAGTGAAACTTTCCACGGTTTTGCTAGGAATTTTCAAGTATTTATTCACAGAATGCATAAGTAATACTATCAATAATTCTATCAATAATAGATAATACTATCAATATATTTCATGTGCAGAAAGAACAGCTTTCTGATCCAGGATACTTAAACTCCTGGAGTAAACCGAACAACATTAAAAAAATAGATTCCTGCTACAGACACATATTCATTAATTTTACATAACTCTAAATACCATACAATTTGACATTAATTTTGTTCAATATTAAACCTTTTCTAATACTGAGAGTGAAACAAAAAGAAGGAGGAAACTAAAAAGAAGTGCAACACAGAAGGTGAAGCTAATTTGAGTAAATTTAGGATATTAATTCCACCGTACTGTTTTAATCATGTAACTTTGCGTGGGTTGAGATGTTATCAAAGCTTGCCTTCTGGTTAAGAAAGTAAAGCATACCTGGAATAACATCATTGATATGCAAAAGAAGTGTACTTTCAACACTTGCAAAACTGCAGAGCTGTATTCCATTATATCTTCCATCCCAGTTTCCAATAGGATTATCCTAAAAGTAGAAAGACATGTTACACGTACCCCAAGAGAAGATTTACACCATACAAAATATACTTCTTTAAAAATGTAAAAAGTGAAAAGAAAATGTTTTACAACACCTGCTTTTTCCTGTAACAAACTTTGTATTTGGAACATTCAAACATTACGGCCTTCAAAGATGAACCTGAACTTAAAAACTGTTCTTTTGAAAAATACTTCTTATTTTAACGAGCATTCTTCTACTAAAATTCATTATTTGTAAACAAGTTAGAACTCCTGGGCATTGTTAAGCAATGGCTACTGCAGTCAAGACAATGGAAGCACCTGATGATTTCGAAAAACAAAACACCCTTTAACTATCAAAAATTTGAAAGCTGTTCATTTTAAAAAAATCAAATTGCTAGAAATAACTCTTAATGGCAAGATTCACATTTTCTTGAAAGATCAACTTCTGTACTCAAAACTCAATACTTTTAAGACAGGACAAAAATCAAACAAACCAAGGTTACTTGAAAAACAAGCTCTTGGAAACAGCTCACAAAGGCATTCATCTTACTGTTTCAAAAGACAAACACTCAACTCCATTACAGCAAGACTGACATTTAACATTACAAGTAGCTCAGTGGAGGCTCCTCAGAGTAATCAGAGTATTTCTCCTGAACTGTTTAGAATCAAACAGGATATCATCTACCTGATAACAAAAAACAACGACCGCCAAGGGGCATATTTGAACACAAGTGTTTATTTCCCATTTTAGGTCAGCCTCCGCTGAAGTAGCTTGTGGATAATGTTTCTTCTATACTGCATGTAATTTACTTGCTAACACACATGCAGAAGTTATTAAATTCAGATTATTTTCTTACCATGTCCACTCCAACAACGTATCCTAAACTCTCGTTTCCTGGTAAGACATCACAGAATATAACTGTCCCATACTCTATACTCTCTCCTATCTTCAGAGAAACCCTGGAGTTGATCTCCAGAGGAGGAAGTTCTACCTGCATTGCTTCAACAGGAGCTGCATAGTCACTTTCCAGTTCATTGTCATCATCTTCCACCAGCTCCAGTTTGTCCAAAGCAACAAAAACCCCACAATCCTCATCGCATCTGAAAAGTTGCTTGCCTTGGTATTGTCCATCAGTAAAACCCTGACCACGACCTTCTTCCTAAGTGTTAGAGGAGGAGATAGGGATGGGAAAGGAAGGCAGAAAAAAAAAAAAAAAAGGCAGTGTATTTTGTGCAGAAACAGATTACTACAAAAGCTGTAATATAATGCAGTGCTCTGAAGAAACTGCAATTAGAATTGGCCTGGTGAACTACCATTATATTCGGAGAAATGTGTTGCTGGAATTTGTGGCAAACATATGCTCTACCTTAGGAGAATAAACAGTAAGATGTTTGACTGGAGAGTAGCTGCCAGCAAAGCCTTTTTATTTGGAGAAGCATGTTTTCTTCAGGTGCAAATCTTGCTTCCATCTTCAAATTTTTGCCACATCAAGACAAGACTAATTTGCATTTGACATAATGCTAAGCATTCAAAAGTTCTACTTAGACGCCAAATAAAGAGAGATAATTTTCAGAGGCACTTGGCCCTGATATTCCCACAGGTTTAGTGGGAAATGCAAAGAATCTGCGGGAAGTTTAAAGAGGACTTTGAAAAACATACTTCTAATGCCAGAAGGGCACCCTCTTGAATCTAACCCTTCAAAAGCTTTTGGCCAACATCAATTTTGTAGATTTATCTCACTAGGCACACAACAGCAACATCCTCTATCTTAACTAGCTGCCATTTGACTTTTAGAGCTCTACAGAACTGGCAACCCTGAAATCCAAGCCTGCATTTATGGACTGTATCCTGCCATGCGCAGGGAAAAACAAAGTACTCAAGAGAAATCTGACAGATATTTGCCACAGTAGGGATGTAAGTAATTTAATTTTCCTAGGCTGGAAGAATCTGAGTGCATTCTTTTTGCCAGCCCATGCACTTCATCAAGATTTACTTAAAGTGTGGAATACACAGCAGGTGTGACAGGGTGTGTTCACAGGTATTTAATAACAATACTTATGAAAAGACTGAAGATTACAGAATTTTTAGGGGTAGTGATGCTTCCAGAAAGAAAATTGTTATTACTGCCTCTTTAAATAGAAGAGTTTTAGCTCATCTTATAAAATATGTATGATGCTTCCCCTTAGTAAGGAACTTACCAGTAATTCTACTCCAAAGTATATCCCCGTTAGGGACCTTTCTTGCATCAAGGGTCCTCTGAAACGAACAACTCCAGGGAATTTCTCATCTCCCGATCTCAGCTGTACTCTAACAGGTGAGCCAATATCTATTTGGATGCCTTTAGTTAACCTGCTTTTGCTTTTAAACAGACTGTATCTTTCCTCACAGTTAGTAATAGCCAAAAGCAACTCAGCTAGTTTTTCATTTATTTCTATAATATCTTTCTCGTCCACAAACAGGACTGCATGAGGTTGTTCCAGAATCTTTAATCCAATCTGCAGTTTCTTGCCTTTACAAGGAATATTTCTGGAGTGTCCCACAGAAGAACGGTCTTGAAAAAACTGCCCAATGCTACCTTTGGGTACTTTCAAGAGCTTCTGCGTCTGCTTGTCCAAGACACTGCATTCCTGGAGAAGCAAGTAAAAGATCCGCTCTTCCCAATAGGATGAACTGCCTTTTTCTTGACTCCATAAGCCAGAATTCATTGTGATTAAAACTTTGTAAGCTGCATAGAAGTCTTCAAGAAAAATAAGCTGTTGATTTACGTGCACGTATCTTCACAAATCCTACTGGAGGGTCCAGCCTTTGTGAAATAATGCAATATTCATTTTGCAAGGAACGAAATTCAGAGCAGAAAGCCTAGAGAGGAAAAAAAGTAAAAGAAAAAAGGCAACATGAAACTGAGGAACTACATACTCTTAAGTAAAAGAAAAAGAAGGAAAAAAAAAACAAACAAACCAACAAAAAACCACCACCAATCAGAAAAGCCCTTAAATCTATGACCAGCCCCCACTCACTCTACAGATAAAAATAGTTCAGCAAAATCTTAAAGACACTGAACAGCCTCGAAACAGCCATAGCACTTTTGATCACAGACACATTTCTACTTGTAATTGCTGTGTATTTCCTTTCCTCCTTTAGTTCCTCAAACTAGAGGAAAAGCATAATGAGACGTAGAGAACACATGTAAGTAAAAGGGAAATGAAAACTTAATTTCAGATGAGCAGGAAGAAATAGCCTGCTTGAGTTTACAAACAATACTTTATGGAAGCTTTCTTCTATGAAGATCTTTTCCAGTGATTACTGACAACCTTTTTTTGACAAAGTGTACTGCATCTGTCATCACAGGTAAAATTTTGATTCAGTAAAGTACAAAATTGTGTCAATGTAGCAGAACAACAGAAAATGGACACTTCAGTACTCCATAACAGCCATTTCTTTAGATAAAATAAATTGAGTGTTCCAATAAGCAATAAAGTAATAAAAAAAAGTATGACAATAAAAAATTGCACCAGTATTGCAACATGTAATTTTGAAGAAAAACCTGAAGACTTTTCTTTAGGTCATTTTAGAATGATAAGTCGCTTTAACGAAGTAGAAGGAAATATATCAGTTAATAAAATATGTGCTGGTTGATGAGAAAATGAACATGAGCTGGATTCAGCGTGCACTCGCAGCCCAGAAAGCCAACTGTATCCTGGGCTGCATCAAAAGAAGAGTGACCAGCAGGTCGAAGGAGGTGATCCTGCCCCTCTACTCTGCTCTCGTGAGACCTCACCTGGAGTATTGTGTGCAGTTCTGGTGTCCTCAACATAAAAAGGACATGGAACTGTTGGAACAAGTCCAGAGAAGAGCCACGAGGATGATCAGGGGACTGGAGCACCTCTCGTATGAAGACAGGCTGAGAAAGTCAAGGCTGTTCAGCCTGGAGAAGAGAAGGCTGCGTGGAGACCTCATAGCAGCTTTCCAGTATCTGAAGGGGGCCTACAGGGATGATGGGGAGGGACTCTTCATTAGGGACTGTAGTGATAGGACAAGGGGGAATGGGTTAAAACTTAAACAGGGGAAGTTTAGATTGGATATAAGGAGGAAATTCTTTCCTGTTAGGGTGGTGAGGCACTGGAATGGGCTGCCCAGGGAGGTTGTGAATGCTCCATCCCTGGCAGTGTTCAAGGCCAGGTTGGACGAAGCCTTGGGTGTGATGATTTAGTGTGAAGTGTCCCTGCCCATGGCAGGGGGGTGGAACTAGATGATCTTAAGGTCCTTTCCAACCCTAACTATTCTATGATTCTATGTATGTCTATAGTTTAGATCCTTCTGGACAAATGAAGAAGATCCACAGTACCTTAACAGGACTTGTTTACTTCTAAAGATGACAGAAAAGGGTAGCATACAAGTTAAGAATATATTTGTCATGTGATTTTTTTCTGTTAGTAACCCGTGACATCAGAGTTCGCATTCAGTTAAAGGAGATTCTCAATTATTTATGCATTTAACTTCAGTAAATAAAAAGCATATACTTTTTGTCCTCCTGCCTCCTCTTTCTACCCTGTTCCTCCGTATCTTTTCTCTGATGGAATTCAAATATCACAATATCTATTGCTATGCATCCTACTCAGTTTGATCTGAGCTTCAGAAACTAACAGAAAACAATGGAATTTAGTAGTACTGTAATTGTATTCATCATCTGTTTTTAAACAAAAGAGTATTTAACAAAACTCCTTCCCCCAAAGAAAAGCAGCGACAACCAGAGAGGACCTGAAATATACGCAAAGTAGCATCTTTCGCTAGGAATCTACTCATCTGTGCCGACTTGCCAAGCCTCCTGTGAGGCCATTGAAACCCCATAGCCATTCAAATTGGAGACAGGCCACTTCTCACAGGTGCTACGGGGCGGTCAGTGTCATCACCATATTTGGACACTGCTGCTGCAGCAGCTCACAGTAATTATGTTGTTTATAATGTTTCCATCTGCAAAGTAATTAACATCTAAGGGACAAAACCTGGACAGTTTCAGGCCTCACTGAGATGAAGTCTGGCAGACTGTCAATCTGTTTTCAAGTTAAGAAATATTTCGTTTTCCTTTCATTCACATAAATGGGCTTTAATGCTTGTTGGTGATTAACAAGAAAGTCTGATATCAATATTGGATTGAAATAGCAATGTTTTATGTAGATATTGATAAGGAACAGATCTCTCCACCCCCACCCCCCAGACAAAGGAAACAAAATTAAATGACCACTAGTTTTTGTAAGTCTACTCAGATAGTAAAATAGAGTTCTATCCAAGTCCTGTCCTGTTTCCTCCCCTTACTTTTTCCAGGCACTGGGAAAAAATAGATACTGTCTTGCTCTTCACAGCTCCATTTTACGTTCTGAGCTTGCAAAGACTGGTGCACTTACTTAACCTTCCTCTTTGTGAGTTACTCCACAAAGTTAATCAACCTCCAATCCACTGCAAACAAGAATCTCTGACATTATAAGGTTCATGATCTTTCCTATTTCACTTACAGAAATAATTCATTTTAATAAGTATGTACGGAAACAAAATACTAATAGAAGTCTGTTCAAGAGCTTAAATAATAAATTTTATTTTATTAAAAAGATATTATTTTATCTATTTTTTAATAAGCATACTCTGCTTGAAAGTCAACTGCTTCAATATCACACAATCTTCACGTTTAGAAGAATTTTGTGTGAAAATATGTTAACAGCTGCGTTTAGATTACACAATGATAACTTCACATGGCATGGGCAGCCTTTCAAAGTTCTAGTCATCCACACAAATGTTATTAAGCTACTGACTACAGTACCAAAAGGTCTTCCAGTATGAAGAAGTTCATCATCACTACAGAAAATGTCTTCCGTTAGAAACTTATCTAACACCACTATCCCCTACCAAAGAAAATATACAGCACTAAACCCCAAATCCTCTTTTAGAATAACGAAAGTGCTAAATTAGTATTTAGCATAGAAAAGCTTGCTAAAAAGGATATTAAGTTCTGGCAAAGACCAGAAATATATGCCCATAAGCCACTAATTTTAAGATTTTTTTTTTTTCTTTTACAGCCATTTTCCATGGAATTGATTATCCTGCAAGAAAAATATACTGGCTGAACAAACACCACACCTGTACCAAGTTAAGACCAGAATGAACTATTAGACCTCAGTATAAATTAACTTGGGAACCAAATTATGCTTAGCAATAAGTCATCTTTACACTCCATAACATACCAGCAACCATAGATTTTTGTGCATACCAGAGAGTACTTCATCATCACCACGACTGTCTAAGTGTCAGAGCCCGTTCAATTGTGTTTAACTCCACCTACTACCTGAATTATTTTCGTGCACAAGGATTTTAGGGAGCAACAGAAAAAACACAGTTATGACTGCAACACTACATACTTCAGGAAAAAAAGATATTTTAAAAATGTCAGAACTAGGCATAATAACCCACCTAACTGCAAAGCTTCCCTAACTTCCTTTCTTTCTAGTCTTGAGTCACTGCTGTCACTACAGTCATCTCATCATAAAAACAGTTTGCAGTGAAATGAGAACTTTGCGTCTACCCTGGAGTAACCTTAGATGAACTACTACACAGACATGTCTGAATCTGCTATCAGGTTTCAGCATGAACACACAATTCTGTAGCTCTGATTCAGAATATAAAATGAGGAGGCTAAAATAAGTTGTAGTTTCTTACAGAACTTTAAATACCAAGCTTTAAAAAGCCGAGACACAAAGTTATCTTCTTCACAGTCCAAAATTAATTTTCAAGGGAAGGTTAAAACTAGGAGTCAATAAATTTAGCTGCAGCTTAATGTGCATAAAATTACGTAACTGCAATACAAGCCACGAGTGGAAAAAACAGAAACTGTTTCTTCAAAATAGGAGGTGAGATATTGCCCGATACAAATAAGTTCATACTGGCAAGATGATTACTAAAAGAAATGCAACTGGAAAACTCTACTGTTTGCTGTTCTAAATTTGATACAAATATACCACTTCAGAGGAAGAACAAAAGTCACTATCAACCATCGGCATCCTCTGGCATTACTCTATTGGGCAAATACACACCAACGCCCAATCCTCACTGTTGTGCAGGCAACCCCTCTGGCAACGTGATACGCAAGTACCCTCAATAAAATGAAAGACCTGTGCTCAGGTTTTGAACTTAAAACCAAATGACATTTACATTTGCTCAGTAATGGAACACTTAATGGCAAGACTGATATACCCGTTTATAGCCTAGCAAGACAAGATGCGATATATAACGTGCAAGTCACAAGGCTCAACGCAAAGCTAATTTTTTTGAGAGTAATTATTCCCCACCCCCTATCTAGATGATTTTCCACGCCTCTCTGGGCGGCGATGAGCAGAGAGAACCGGACAGCCCCGAAGCACTTATTAAGTCGGAGCAGAAAGCGATCGGGCCCTTAGCGAAGAGCTATCGAGAACGCACAGCGGGGCCAGGCCCGACTACCCACGCCACCGCCTAGCGCGCCCAGCCTGGCCCCGCCGCTGGGCGTCACCGCGCCCCTGACCCGCAGCGACTGCCGCACGTTAGGCGGGGGGTCAACGGGCACAGGAACAGGAGGGAGAGCGGCCTGGCACGGCGAGGCCTCACACCTGGCGCGCCGAGCAGCGTCCCTGAGCAGCGCCCGGCCCCGTGTTCCGTCCGTCACTCACCTTTTCATCCCAGCTCCACACGCATACGCCAGCCCACGAGCCTCTCCCGCCGCCGGCTCACAGCCCCACACCGATCCGTCCCCCGCCTCGTATACCTATCCTCAACACCCAACGAACGCCCCCTGCAACCTCAGAGGACCCTCCCCCGCGCCCCCTCGGCCTCTCTCA